CATCTTAGAAATGAGGAATTATGGTATTATTTTTACAGTGTCTATCTTCATAACATTTACATTCTTGTCTGAACTCTTATTTGCCTTAACTGTTTGAGTTTAGTTTTATATTTTGATGGTTTAAATATATATAGCCACTTCCTCCATACCATGATTTTTTTAATTCCTAAATTCTTTATTTGATTCATGTATTGGTGGGCTAAATTCATCATCAAATGGTTTGTTCAAGAATTTACAGGGGTTATATATTCCTATAGTGTTTGCATGTTTGAGAATGTTTTCTATTGTATATAAACAACAACTTCATTAGATATAAATTTCTTACACAACACTTGTTTCTCCAATACTCTGTAAACATTGCGTCACTGTTTTCTAGCTTTGAATGTTAGTACTGTGAAGTGTGAGGCCAGCCCCTTGTAGGAAATTTTTTTTTCTCTGGGTGCCCACACAGTCCTTTTTCTTGAAGTTCATTAATTTCATTGTTGATTGTTTTATATCTTTTTTTAGGAACATACTAAGATCTTCTTTAATTTCAGGGAAGTTTTCTTCTATTATGTCTTTGAATATTTTTTCTGTTCCATTTGTTCCATTTTTCTTCAGGAACATCAATCATGGGTATGTGGAATCTCCTTTGTCAGTCTTACATGTCTGTCATCTTTTCTCTGATCATTTTTATCTTTGTGCTTTTTTATTTTGTTTTGATTTTTCTCAAGCCTATTCATGTCACTGTTTGCAGTATTGCCCTACGTTTTGCTGCTTCTATTGTGATTTTTCTTCATTAGTGGTTTTACTGTTTTCTTCATTTTCTTCTCTCTAGGCTCTGCTAGTTCATCTGTTGTCTCATAATTTTTTGAACCTCTGTGTCACTTCAGTTTATTTGAGAGTATAGAGAAGAATATGTTGAAAGTTAATTCTTCTACCTCTTGCTAGTTAGAAATTTTTCCATCTTTTCTGCTAGGATCAGGGTAAAGGTTAGGTGCCATGTTATAGCCATTCTTCTTTTGAATTGATTCAGTTTTCTCTGGGCTGCTATTTACTAAAAGTAATGTGAAGCATCTGGAGATTTTATTCCTAGTTTTTGTATGTGTATCTAAACACATTCTCACTAGATCTACTCAGTCCTTTTCCCTAGGGGCATGTCTTACTTCAGCCTCATCACAGAGGGAAGTCACTTGGTTCACTACTATGCTGGGACTGTACTTAGCTGTATGAATTGGTGTTTATCATTTCTTGGTTGATTTTGTTTAGGGACTCCCTTCTCTACCCTTCAGGCAGTTTCGGGAATTATATTTTGAAAGCTTTAGAAAATAATTTGTAAACAGGCTACCAGGACAGATCTAGCTTGCATAGAGGTGGCTCCATTCGTGATTTTAAATTTTGTAAATTACTTGATAACACCCAAAATCACTAGATTATGCTTAAGAATCAAGATTTCTGGCTTCTCTTTAAAAACATTAGACCTACATTCCCGCCTTCTCACGTGGCATCAGTTGACTGAATCAGAGTAATTGTTTCCCCTTAGGTAGAATGTACCCTATTTCATTACAGTGCCCACCACGGTCATTGAAGGACTATGATAATGTGCCTAGCAATTCTTCTTCCTTAAAGCCTATAATTTTAGTAGGGATATAATGAGGAATGGAGGATTGTGGCTAAGCAGAAAATGTGAGCCCCATCTAGAAAATAGAGAAGGAAGCCCCTTATCCTCACTGATCACTATAAGCATTTGAGTTTGGAACCCTGCTTTAGAAGAAATTGCTGCTGAAAAAAATCTTTTACAAATTCAGTTTATTTTGTAATATCTTTTATCTAGTTGGATTTCATATATTAGACTTTTTAAATGAGTCAAACTAGGTGGTTAAAAAGATTGGTTATCACATCTAAAGATTTCACCCTTTCAATTTTAGTTTCATTTTTATTGCATTGACAGTAAAATTAAAACTGTTCCATAGCAGCAGTGCTGTGAATCACCGGCAAATACATATTAAAACCTATCATATATAGATTCTAGAGTGCATGTAAGAGTTAAGGATACAAAAAAATACATAAAGACATGGCTTTTGCCTTTGAAGAGCTATGTCTGGTGGATGGGGCAGGTCATGTGCATAAACATGAATAATGTGAGGTTGTTACCACAAAGTATTAAGTGACCAATACAAATACACTGAAAATTGCTTTAAAAAATTGCTAACATGGGATTAAAGCTGGACCTAGAAAAAGTGGGATCTACATAAGTTTAGTTTAAGTTGAAGAGACATACCCCAAGCAAAATTATGGTGTAGAAATAGCATGTTATATATGAGTAACAGTGAGCTTGTAGTTTGGCAATGCAGGAACTGGCAGGTAACTTTGAATGGTGAGCCAGAGCATAGAAGAACTTAAATGGAGGGCTGAGGAATTGGGCAGTGAGTTGTTAAAGGCTGTTGAACAGAGGTATAATGTATGTATGAGTATATTTAAGATCGGTTTGTAAATTCACATATATATGAATGTTAGAAAATAATCTTGAATTATTTTCTTATAGAGAATGGTTTTTCTTGCTTTCACATGAAGTTTTGAACCCAATGTATTGCTTGTTTGAGTATGCGGGCAAGAACAACTATTGTTTGCAGATAAATCCAGCATCAACCATTAATCCAGACCATCTTTCATACTTCTGTTTCATTGGTCGCTTTATTGCCATGGTGAGTTCTTGACTTTAAATTATTTAATTTATTTATTTAAACTTCGCTTTTTTTCACAAATATTTCAGAGGACTTATTTTGTTACCAAGGAGGTTTTCTTAGGGAGTGTCAAAATATAGTTAATTTTTTTGAGTACTTGTATGAAATACAAGATTATGAATATGAGGATTATTTATGTAGTCACTTAGTCTTAAAAACTCCTTTCATTTTATAAATTAAAGTCTAATTAGAGTATGACAGCTTTTCTATAAAAGGAAAATCTGAGGTATCTAATAATTGCATTTGATTAATGTCTTTGATTTTTTTACAGCTTTGCAGAAGCCCTTGTGAAACTATAGTCTTTTGAGAAATGTTTGTATTTATATATTTGCACTTCATTATTTATTCATTTAGTAAATATTTATTGAGAGCCTACTATAATGCTAAGCACTGTTCTAGGCACTGGAGATAAAAAAAAAAAGGCATAGTCCCTGCTCTCAGGGATCTAAATTCCATTAGGTGGAGACAGAAACTGTGTGCTAAGGGAAAGAGTGTTGCTTTTTTATATAGTATGGTTGGAGGAGGCCTTATTGATGGCCGACACATGAACAGAAGCATGAAGAAAGCAAAGGACTGGATTATGCAGATATCTTGGAGAAGGACATTCTAGGCATAGG